TCCACAGCGAGGTCACCCCAAAGTCTGCTCTTCTCCAGGCTGAACAACCCCTACTCTCTTAGCCTTTCCTCCCAGCAGAGCTGCTCCATCCCTCTGATCACCTTGCTGTCCCTTCCCTGGGCTTGCTCCAACAGGCCCCTGTCCTTCCTGTGCTAGGAAGAGCCAGAGCTGGATGCAGCAGGCACTGCACCACAGTGGGTTCAGCTTGGATATGAGGAAAAATTTCAGTGTGCTTAAGTACTGTGTGCCACAGGCTCCCCAGCAGATGGTGCAGTCACCGTTCATGGAAATGCTCAAAAATATGAGTACACATGGCACCTCCGTATAAGGGCTAGTGGAGATGGTGAAATGGAATGGAGAAATGGATCTGAAGATTTTGGAGGTCTTTTCCAACCTGCATGTGCTTATTTTTGTCACTGGGGACAGTGGTCTGAGTCCTGGACCTGGGCCTTTGGCTGATGGGGACATGTCGGCCTCTGGACTTCCACAATGGGCTCAATGTGCCAATGAAAGGAAYGTAAWTGTCCTCACAGCACTGCAGAAACTGGCAATGCTGAGACCCCTCTGAGAGTGTGACAAGGGCTGCTTACATGTGTGTATCCTACAAGAACTTCTTCAACACAGCAAGGATCTGCATTATTCCTGCTCCTAGAAGAACTGCTTTTGACTATTGGTTTTCCCAAGGAGTACCAGAGAAGTCATCCCATTGCTGTGGAATGGGAAAGAGTAGGAAGCATCATTGGAACTTTTACATTAGAAAGGAAAAAGAACTTCACACTGAGCCATGCAGGGATTTAACAGGTTTTCTGCTTCTCACAGCAATTTTCATATATGCCCCATGTAGTTCACCCGCTGTAAGGATCTTTGCCAGCCAGGGAGTTCTRTCCTAAGCTCCAGACAACTGCGACATTTGGCCAGAAAAGAGTGATTTACAATCTCAGAAATGCYACAGAGAGCAAACCATGGGTTCCCAGAGCTGTTGAAACATCACAAAGGGGCTGCTCAGGCCGGGACCCACAGGAGGAACAACTGGGGAACACCCAGTTGAACAAGTTCAACCTTTCTTGCAGTAGCTGGAATTGTGAAGGACAAGAGAGGCTGAAGTCAGGTTCTGCTGAAAATATGAAACACAAAGGATTTRAGGCAGATAGCAGGAATGGTACAAAATCAGGGATCTATCACATAGAACACATGGTCTGGGGTCTAGAAACCAGCTGTGGGGAAGGTCAAGGCACTCGGTTTCCTTCAGTCTGGGGAGCACCCCTGCAGCCAAGGGCCCACAGGTCACACTGCACGCATTGATCACTCTTCAGCATCCTGCTTCATCTTTGCATAGGTGGCAGGRCAGAACTGGGAATAGAGCTGAGCCAGCAGAGCCTGAGAGGGGACCTCTAACTTGGTCCCGTGACTCAATTTATTCCATATGTGCACTGCATAGCTGTTCTCAAGGAGCTTGTGAAGCTCCAAGACACTGATGGACTCAAACAACTTCCTCCAGTCCTGCCAGGGAATAGGGTAAACAGCTTCTGGGGCAAGAGCATGCACACCTTTACAGCTCATGCTYGTGATAGTCTTGAGGGAGCACCACTTCTTGAAGACACGAGTTACGAGCTCTGGGCCCTGGTGCCCCCAAACCCATCCATTGTAATTCTGTACAAAGTCCTGCATGCAAAGCTCCATGAATTCGTGCTTGGGCTTAAAGGACAAAAAGGCCCCATTCAGTACATCCTCATCCTGGATCCCAATAGCATTGGTGAGGTTTTCCAAGTTCTTAAGCACAATGAAGTCTGTATCCAGGTAGATGCCACCGAACTTCCACATGAGGACAATCCTGCAGGCATCAGAAAGAACGGGTACAAAATGAGGCTCCCAGTGTCGCAGAGGCCACAAGTACCACTTTTTTAGAGGTGTTCCAGAAAAGAGCTCTGTCAGGTCGAGGGGCCGGATTTCCACATTGGGGAAGCATCTCAGCAAGGAAAAAGCCCAGTGCTCAGGTAAGGAGGTATTCGCACTGGCCAAGCCTTTCATGAGCACCACAACTCTTGACCCTGGGTGTGTCCTGGCCGCTGACTCCACAGAGCATGAGAACAGRTAACTGGGGTTAATTTTCTCCGACGTCTCCACAAAAAACACATTCCCTGKGGAAGGAGAGGGCCCAGCAGCAATGCTGTGGGAAGAAGGCACAGAATGTGCACAGCTGCTTTCAGCAGACAAGGTGTAGGAGTAGTCTATGTTCTTTGGGTTCTCCCAGATCCTCCAGTACAACTTGATGTAGGCGAAGGACACGAACATAAAGATGAGGAYAAACAGAGYCCAGGGCTTGTGGCTCAGCACCACTCTGGTCAGTGTTAGGAGGCAGCTGGGCATCCTGAGCCTTCTCTCTCCAGCCAGAGCCTGCTCTTCTGAGACAGCCTGAAGAGAAGGAAAGAAAAAATCTGATAGACGAATCGGTAGAGTATGAGCCTTCCTTCACATGTTTGTCCCATCTTCATAGCAGTGCACAACAAACTCTGGGAACACCATTAGATACCTCWTTTGTCACCTGCTAGAACTTCTGGTCATTCTGAACATGAAACACATATGCAAAAAACACTTGGATTTGGAAAGGAAACAGGAAGGAAATACGATGCAGAACCCAGGTGGCACAATCCTGTTTGTCATTCCCCTTTGATCACTGTGCTGGGTCACATATTGAACTTCTCATGTGCCCAGAAGATCACTTGACATATGCACTGGGAGATRTCTAAATGCAAGGTACGAAGATTTGGGGGTCAGGAGAAGCATCGAATACACAAATCATCAGATCTGTATTCTCATAATGTTTTCTCCTCCTGCACAGAAACGCCTGCATGTTCTACCTGTGTTACAGGTGGCAAAAAACAGCCCACCCTACCTTTTACAGACATATTTCCCCACCCTCCACACCACAGCTGGTWGAACCCTTTGAACCATTTCTTAAGCTGTAGAAGAGAAAGAGGCACAGGCTAGGGGGGACAGAGCCAGTGCTGTAGAGGAGGCGGGAAACTCGCCTGTCCCTGCTTTCAAGAATTCACAGACTTCAGTGCTCAGCTTGACAAGATTTTTAAGAAATTAAAATATCTGAGGGTGCCAACAACTCTTTGGACTGGCACTTTTTTCTTCAGAGAAGGAGCAGTGACAGATGCAGTCCAAACACACGGGGGGTGGAAAAGGGGAGGATGTGACATAATTCCTCTCTAGTGAGATGCTGATACAAAGATCGCACASATGCACTGTGAATTAACCAGTTAGTTAAACAGTAATAAAATAAAGGAGGAATTTGAAATCCCATTACCACCACACTTTAAGCTTTAGACTGTGGCATGAAAATGGTTGGTTTTGTTTTCTCCTCCTTTGCTAAGAACTCCCAGGGTTCACGCTGCTTCTGGGGCTGCCACGATAACTGAGCTGACCCTTCCACAGAGCAGCCTGCTCCCTCCACCAGGTCTAAGTACAGAATGCTCCTTTAGAAACACACTCTTTATACCAAATAATTTACTCATTCTTTGGGAATACTCCCTTATATGGCAGGTACCTCATTGAAGGACTTTGCCAAATTCAGGTGTCGCTAATTCTATGACAGTTTCCCCCTGTCCCTGTGATCAAGGGTGGCTGACCTTCCCTTTTGAGAGACACGCTGGCACTTTTATAAAATCCCACTTTTATCAGCAACAACAACTAAATTTAGGGATTGCTGCAGGCTCTGCTCAGATGCCTGAAACAAATATTGCTCTGCAGGGTCCCAGACCCTTCTCCTCTTCCCCAATCCTTCCATGCTGTACACTGCAGCACCATGGATCAGCCAATGAAAACCCTTGTCCAGCTCCAGAGGCTCCACAACTGCTCAGGGCTACCTGCTTCAGTGTTTTATCACCATTCCTTTCATTCTAACTTCCCATAGTTCAATTTGTTCCCATTGTGTCTCATCCCATCTCTGCATTGCACAGAGGACAGTGTCACTTGTGTCTTTTACCCCCTCCACCTTCAGTCAGGTGTTTGTACACCCTGACCAGACCCCCCCCAAGCCTGCTCCAGTCCAAGAAAAGCCAGCAGAGCTCTCCCAGCCTCTCCTGATGCCCTGTGTGCTCCAATCCCTTCCTCACCTTAGTGGCCCTTTGCCGGAGCTGCTCCAGTGCGGACACGCCTCGCTCATCCTGGGATCCCAGAACCAGCACTCCAGGTRGGTCTCACCAGGGCCAAGTGGGRGACAAGGATYGTTCCCCTGACCTTGCAGGCCATGCTCCATGGAYTGTGGGTCATCTCTGGCACCAGGGCACACAGCTGCCTCCTGCTCAACCTGTTGCCCATGGGACTGCCAGGTCCGTTTCCTCCCCCAACTTTCCAGCAAAAATGTCATTTTTATGGCCTTGCTGGCTAAATTTAAAAACCAAGTGAACCAATTCCAAGCACAAAAGGCACAAAAGGCACAAAACAATGGAAACAGAGCCAGGGCTGCCACCACAGATGATGCTGTGACTCCACCATGCAAGGGCTTCCACGAGCCTGATGCTGCTCACGCCTAGTTTTAGTGCACTCTGCCCTGAGGAAACCAATTTCCTGCCCCACATGACTATGTTGGCTTCACTGGTATTTCCTTGGTAGCAGAACYACAGACAGCAAAATAGAGAAACAACCCAAACTAGATGATAATTGAATGATTGAGTGACTGTCAATGAATTGTGCAGGAAGCCAATCTACATGAGGCCAAAAAGCATTCTGCATTCCTGCAATCCTCTACTTTCCAAATTGTAACAGCAAATATTCAGAAGTCCCTAAAACCTGGCAAATCATTCCTAATAGGAAAAAAAAGTGCATTATTGGGTGATAATGTTATAAAACATTGTATAATCTTCATGACAGTTCAAATAGTGATAACAAATGGCACAAAATGAACAGTACAAATTCTTTAAAGGCATGCATTTAGTGATGTCAGAGAATAAAATGTTACATTCTCAGTTTGCACTGAAAGCAATTAGATCTTTTTTTTACATAATTACATTAGAACTGTGTAATTCTCAGATTATGAGCTCTGTAGAAGTTTTTAAAAACCTCCAGGCCTACATATTACTATACCACGTGTTTTAGCCAGGGGTGATCAGATGATTACAGGAAAACTATGGCAGTCCATATTGCACAAGTGCAAGTGTTGTTTAAAAGACAGAATATAAACTAAGGATGTGAATAAGGAYTTCTCTATTGTTTCCCTTCTATGATTTAATTGACACAGCTTATACCTAGGTAATTAGGAGATTTAGCCTATGAAGTTGGAKAGGCCTGTAAATAAGCAGAAAATTACAGAAAAGGTTAAAAGGTGAAAAGGGGTGATCTAGCTATTAGCAAATATATGTGTATCTATACATACATAATATACTATTAAATAGAATGGATTTGCAATATAATTCTTTCTTGCCCCTCAGAACATGCAGAGAGACTAGTTAGAGATGTGTTTTCATCTTACACTGGGCAAGATGCTTTGGTTGATTCCAACATTTCAAGCAGTAGTTGTGCCCTCTCGTGGCCAAGTCAATTGTCATTCCTGGGGTTCTGGGCACTTAAAATTATCCAGGATTTAAGAAAAGAACTGCTGGGATAGCAAAGCAGAGAGCAGCTCTTGCAGCAAGGGACCCAGTGCTGGAGGCAYCAAGCCTAAGGTTGACTGGAGGATCTGGAACAGATCTGAAATCAGACAGAATTTGTCATGAACATCCAGTCTTCATGGGCTAAATGAAATACACTGTGGTATATCTTCAATGCTTTATTTATTACTGCTTGTCATTGTGCCATTTTATAGCAGGATTTCAACTACTTTACAGCATTAAACTACACAAAAGCTGTGTTTGAATGTACACCCAGCACAAACATGGAAACACTGCTCTGATCAGCCTTGGGAAAAGTGTTTGCACCAGCCCCAGTTGTCTTCAGGAAAATGAACAAAATACTCTTGAGTTTAGTGATGTCCTTTCAAGCAAATGTGTTGTCACTGGAACTGCAAAACACCTGAGGGGGTGTGTAAATTTGCTACAAATTCTGTAACAAAAATAGAGAGGGGACACAAGGTCCAGCAAMGTACCCAGGTAGCTGCTAAGGGTCTTGAACAATAAATGTCAACCATCACAAGCAGCCTGATAGAACTATTTTGAGGACCCACCAGAAAACAACTGAAGATCTCGATTTTCTCCAGATTTACATTGCTCAAAAGAGTAGAAGAGGTGAGATTTGACAACACCAGCATTTAGTAGGTGACTAATCAGTCTGCTAGGCATAGAAACAGAGTGGTGCCCAACAGGCATGAATCTACCAGCAAATTCTCCTAGTATTTAGGGGAATTATTTTTAAACACTTTACCAACAGCTTTAGAGCACYTCCTCCTGAACCCAGAGAGGATGGCAGACCAAGCATGTGTGAATATTTGAGGTAAGATGAGTGTAGATATTGTAAATGTAGAATATTAGACCAATAAAACAGCTGAAGGCAGAGGACATTTCAGGCATGTCTCTTAACTCCCAGGGAGTTAAGTGCATCTTCTATATTAATGACTTCACCTTCTCAGAATGAACCCTGCAATATTCAATTCACTTACAGTGTGTTTGAACTAAGTTTTCTACTGAAATAAAAGAAAGAACAGTGAAAATGCTCACTTCTRTAGCTGTCATGAAATACTGGATAGACATTGTACGGGATAAGAAGCATTAAAAGCAAGGCACAGCAAAGAGTCAGAGGATGAGATTAGCAAATTTTTACAAAAAAATAGAAAGGGGAAGGAAATGATAYGGCAGTTTTGATAGCTGCTGGTTTCCAGATCACTGTACACAAAGCATACATAGATGTGATGGCATCTTACTGAAGTTGTCCAGAAAAAAAATCTGCAGACTCTATTACTTGCAACACAGAATRTCAATGATGTATCTAAGTAATGGTCACAAACAGAAAATCAGATAGTCAGACAAGGCAGCATCATTAGGTTTCAATTCTGTCTCCCTAAAGACAATAATAAACAGCCCAAGATGAATGGAAAAGGGTCAGTAATACTGTTAGTAGGAAATTTGTAGGATCAGATTTGTCAAGCAGGACCTGCCTTTCATGATTGTGTGCTGGCTGAGCCTGGCCCCCTGGTTGGACATGCTCAGTATGATCTGTTCCATTGGTATCGAGGCCAGGTTCACACGCCTGTGGCTCTCCAGCTCCTCCTTTCAGCTTTCTTGTAGATGGGTGTCACAYTGGCTAACYCCTCATCCTCTGGGACTTCCCCAGTTCACCAGAGCTGCCAGTAAATGATGGAGAGCAGCTCAGAGCTCATCCACCAGCTTCCTCAGTACCCTTGAGTGGATCCCACTCYGCCCCACAGACTTGTGCACTTCTAAGTGGAGCAGCAGGTCACTGTTTCCTCC